GGAGAGAAGGTTGTTATTAAATCTGGGGGATTTTTCTCAGTGAAAAAAATAATTCAGGGAGGTGGGTGGAAGGCAAAGGATGTGTGTTCTCATCTAAGAATTGCTCAGATATTTCCCTTAAATTATTTTAACTCTTCCTGGGCAGCATTTCCTGTAAGGAAATGACATGCAGGTTATTTTTCCCAGAGCCAACTTTGATCCTTGCAGTGGACATGGTGCTTAATTTGATTACATTTAATCCCTGAACTTTGTTTTTTTCCTGTTTAAGTAAGTGGGCCAAAAGTGGCTGATGGAGGATCCCCTTGGACTGAAGGGATGACTTGCACATGTTGGTGTTTGCAACATCTGGGCTGCAAACCCCCTGTTCTCCAGCCTTGTCTTGTGAGCAGACCCAGTTTCATGTCCTTTGTCTAACAGGAGAGACCCCAGGCCAGGAGCTGGAAGTGAACTTGATAAAAGTAGCTCTGGGAGGACTTAAAAGGAAAAGCTGAATTCCACTGAGCCTCAGGAATGTCTGGAGGATTCAGGTCGCCTTTTAAAGTGACCTCCAAGTGTTGGCTTTGGTCCTGGCAAATCATCTGGGGTCTGGGCAGTCCTTTGAAAGGTGGAGAGTTCCTCTCTTTGAATCTAAAATCTGCAAAGTGGTGGGAGATGCTGCTGCACATAAAAACCCTAATCCAGTCCCAGATGTGGGGTGGGTGGGTGGATGTGGGGCAGCGGCTGGGCCAGATCTGCTGCTGGTGTGAAATGCAGTTCCTCTGGAGACATCCATGGAATCCAGACATCCAGGGGCTTCCATGGGTTATACAAACAGCAGGTCTGGCCCAAACCTGAGCTTCTTAAAGCCAGGAAGGGACAGGATACAGTCCCTGGCGTCCTGGGCTCGGGCACGTGGAAAGGGAGGATGCCAGTGAAGTTTGGGATCTGGCTGGAGCAGAGGCACTGACATTCCCTGCTGTGGATTTCCACAGGAGGCTTTATCAAGCACAGGAACAGCTGCTTTTGCTTTTTGAGTTTCAGTTTCTGTTGGCTCACTGCTGTCTCGGGGGGAGTCCCTGTGATTGCTCCTCAGGGATGTCCTGTGAGCCACGTGCTGGGGAGCTGCAGCTGGAGAGGGGGATCCATCTCCTGGGGGACCCATCCCCTGCTGGGACCCATCTCCTGGGGGATCCATCCCATGATGGGATCCATCCTGTGATGGGATCCATCCCATGGTGGGATCCATCCCCTGCTGGGATCCATCCCCTGATGCTGCACTGGGGGACTCTCCCATGACCCTGAGGTTCATTCCCAGGGCTGGGATCTCTTTCTGCTGCCTGGAAGTCTCTGGGATTTGGAGAGGAATGCTGATGTAGTTATTTGTGAGAGGAACAGGACAGAGTGCTCCAGTAGAGCTCTGACTCCATGGTGGGATCCATCCCCTGCTGGGATCCATCCCATGGTGGGATCCATCCTGTGGTGGGATCCATTCTGTGGTGGGATCCACACCCTGCTGGGCACCATCCCATGATGGGATCCATCCCATGGTGGGATCCATCCCCTGCTGGGATCCATCCCCTGGTGCTGCACTGGGGGCCTCTCCCATGACCCTGAGGTTCATTCCCAGGGCTGGGATCTCTTTCTGCTGCCTGGAAGTCTCTGGGATTTGGAGAGGAATGCTGATGTAGTTATTTGTGAGAGGAACAGGACAGAGTGCTCCAGTAGAGCTCTGACTTATTGCAATTTTTAAAATATCCTTCAGAATATTTCTTAATTATTTTTTTTAAATTTTCCTGGAGTTTTTTTGGTGCTGAATGGGATTTAGGGGAAGTGGGATTTACCAGCATTGCCTCACTGGCAGCACAGCCACCAACTTCCATCACACCCCAAACTTTTGGAGCAACTTCAGTCTCTGTGCCCCCAATTTATTTCCAAAACAAAACAATAATCACTCCTGCTGCAGAAAGCTGAACTAGGAGCTTGTGGTGTTCAAACCCCAGCAAGGCAGCAGTTCTGTGAGGAATGCTGGTAAATCCCAGCAATGTAATCCAAACTAAACATTCCCAGCACTGCTGGTGCTACCAGCTGGGTCAGGCTGTTTAAATGGTAGTGCTGATCTTTAATCAGAAGTTCTATTTATTCCTGATGGCCTGAGGAGCAAAATTCAGTGGGAAGGTGAAATTTAGGAAACGTCTAAATACATGTGCCAGCAGAGCTTTTGGGTAACTCCATCCTCTTCCTTTTGACCACCCAAATTTCTTGGGACTGGAGTTTGTGCTCTGGGGGCTGGAATCCCTTCTGGAATTTGCTTTACATACTTTGGTTCAGCTCTTTTGCATTTTGAGTCAGTGACTTGTACTGCTTGTGGAAATTAACCGTGCCCTTCTCAGCTTGCTCCTGGCTGCCAAAATAATGTTTATTCTGCTTTGGGCTGGGTTTTTTCAGTGTGGCAGCATCCAGAGGTGCCAGTGGATGGGGAGCTCTGAAGGAGACTCCAAACTTTCCCTTTGGGTGCTGCCAGCTGCCCCTGGATTTCAGGGCTTTCAGCTGAACAGATCTGCAGGTAAGTCACCTTTTCCTTGCATTAGGCTTTGGTCTTATATGCAAATTAGGCAGTTTTAACCTTTGCAGTTCTCATTATGCATCATCATTATTTCCACTGCATAAAAGCACTTGAGTTTGACGAAATTGTAATTCTAAACTCAAGGTTTTGGGGAGGTGAAAACACCAAATCCCAGGGTCTCACAGAGTATTTAAATCCTGCATTCTGCAAGGAGCAGGTGGTTTTGGACACTTCATCAGGAGTTTCTGGTCTCCCTCAGTTTTCACACTTAAAACTGCATTGCAAGAGAAAATTGCAGAATTTATCTTGGATCCCAGGGCTGGATCCTGAGCTCTGGACTGTTTCCACCTTGCTCTGCCTGTAATGAGATGGATCAGGAAGTGTTTTGCTTCTTGGCTCTATCTGGCCTTTATTTATCCCACCTGCATTAAGCCTGATTTCTGTGGAAAGCTTTTTGCAGGAAACCTGCTTGCTTTACAAACCCACTGCAGAAAGCAAAAGGCTCCCCATTAGTGCAAATATATTGCAGGTGGATGGAAACTTAACTGCTATGTGAGTGTGAGGTTTTTATGGTGAGACAGCCAGGGTGTTTAGCTCCTGCTGTATGTTACAGGGGATTCAGGGGGACTGAGGGATTGCTTTGTGCTCAGTGTACACCTTGTACCAGCAGCAGGGAGCTGGAATCCAGGCTGTGCATCACCCTGACACTGGGAAGCTCCTTGTCAATGAAAGTTTTGGCTCCTTGAAATTGCATCCACAGACAGAGCAAGAACCAGCCCAGGGATATTGATTGGGAATATAAATTTTTTCCTGTGCTGGTGGAACAGCAGCGTTGCTGAAGCTTTGCATGGAGCCAGGATTTACAGAACCCTTGGCAGCTTCCAGCCAGGTGCCTCTGCAGGCTGGGGGCGGCTGATTTGGAGGGCAGGGAATGAAAAATGAAGGTTTGGATTGGAAAGGACCCTAAAGCTGCTCCCATTCCACCCCCTGCCATGGGCAGGGACACCTTCACTGTCCCAGGCTGCTCCAAGCCCTGTCCAGCCTGGGCTTGGGCACTGCCAGGGATCCAGGGGCAGCCCCAGCTGCTCTGGGCACCTGTGCCAGGGCCTGCCCACCCTCACAGGGAAGAATTCCTTCCCAATATCCCATCTGTCCCTGTCCTCTGGCAGTGGGCAGCCACTGACCCTTGTCCTGTCCCTCCATGCCTTGTCTCAAGTCCTTCTCCTGCTCTCCTGGAGCCCCTTCAGGCTCTGAGCTCTCCCTGGAGCTTCTCCTCTCCAGGTGAGCACCCCCAGCTGTCCCAGCCTGGCTCCACAGCAGAGGGGCTCCAGCCCTGGAGCATCTCCATGGCCTCCTCTGGGCTCTCTCCAGCAGCTCCAGGTTCTCCTGATGTTGTTCCCCAGGGCTGGGGCAGCTCTGCAGGTGGGGTCTCACCTGAGTGGGGCAGAGGGGCAGAATCCCCCCTCCCCTGCTGCCCAGGCTGGGGGCTCAGCCCAGGAGCACTTGGCTTGTTGGGCTGCAGGGAAGGAAAAGCTTTGTCCTGGCCAAGCTGTTTGGAGGAGAACAAGTCCCCTGCTCCTTAGCAGAGGCTGGACACTCATTTCTAAGCACTTGAAATCTCCCAAATCCTCGCAGCTGCCTTGCTTTCCTGGCACAGGGAGAAGAGCAAATGCTTTTCATGCTCTTTATCTCTGGGCCCAGAGCTCTGGTGGCTGAGCTGTGTAATCTCTGTCAAAACAAGAGATTACTGAGGCTTCTCCTGATGTTTCAGTGCCTCTGCCTGGTGGGAATCTTGCTGAGTCTGTCCTTGCTTTCCCTTCCTCTCCTTGCTTCCTCTCCAGTCCAAGTTCAGTGTTATTTTAACACCACTGGGAGTAAAATCCATGGGAATGTGCTTGGGAGTAAAATCCATGGAAATGTGCTTGTTACCCTGCTGTGGTCAGGGCTGAACTCTGCACGTGCAGCTACACTGCATTTTCCAGATATTCCAGGCAGCATTTTCCAAATACTCCAGGCAGCATTTTCTAAGCTGCTGGGTGGATTTTGCAAATTCCCAAGCAAAATGTTGCCTGTCTATAAAAATACATTTCTGAAAGAGGATTTTTTTTTTCTCTCTGTTTGAACAGAAAACCCATCCTGGGATGGATCCCTGTAGGAGAGTGAACCAGCAGCATGGTTTATCCCTGGATTTCTGGGGTGGGTGTGGGTTTATATAACATCACTCACCTGCTAAAGGGGGTCCTCCCATGGCTGCTATCCCTGCAAAAAATGCAGCAAACCCCAGGTAGCTGTGGAGCTTCTCTACACCCACCAGATCCACCTGTTTGGAAACCAAAATGGGTAATTAGTGATTGGGTTCATAGGACTGCATATGCACAACAGATTAATTGATTTTTTTTTTTTTAAGCACAGGAGATGATTTTGATTCTTTTTTTTTTTCTGGGTATTTCCTCTCTTGGCAGTGGGAAGCCATTCCTTGTGTCCTGTCCCTCAATCCTTTGTCCCCAGTCCCTCTCCAGCTCTCCTAGATCCCCTTTAGCTCTGGAAGGGGCTCCAAGGGAATCTCCTGGATCCCTTTTACCTCTGGAAGGGACTCTAATGGAATCTCCTTGATCCCCTTTAGGCCCTGGCAGGGGCTCTGAGCTCTCCTTGGATCCCCTTTGGCTCTGAATGGGGCTCTTAGGGGAGAGGATCTCCTGGATCCCTTTAGGCTCTGGAAAAGGCTCTGAGGGAATTTCCTGGATCCCTTTTAGCTCTGGAAGGTGCTCTAAGGAATCTCCTGGATCCCCTTCAACTCTGGAAGGGACTCTTAGGGAATCTCCTGGATCCCTTTAAGCTCTGGCAGAGGCTCTGAGCTCTCCCTGGAGCCTTCTCCTCTCCAGGCTGGGCACCCCCAGCTCTCCAGGCTGGCTGCAGCCCTGGGAGCATCCCTGTGGAGCATCCAGCAGGATCCTGCTGCAGTTCTGGCTGTTCCAGAAGATTCTGGAATGGTTCTGGTTCAGGTATTCCAGGTGATTCTGGAATGGTTCTGGTTCTGGCTGTTCCAGAAGATTGTGGGATGGTTGTGGCTGTTCCAGAAGATTGTGGGATGGAGCAGCAGGCAGAGCCTGGCTGGGCACAGCAGCACTCACCAGCACGGGCAGCACCAGGGCCATGAAGCCTCCACAGAAGATGGCAGAGGCCACGGTGTAGGCCAGCAGCAGCGGGAAGGAGGTGGCCAGCGGCCCCAGCAGGTTGGTGGCCCCGCTGAGGAGCAGGTAGGTGACATGGAAATGGTACTTCTTGGTCCAGTTGTGGTCGGCCAGCCAGCCCGAGAGCAGCTGGCTCAGCATCTCCGTGATGCCTGGGGGAACAGGAGCTCTCAGGGGACACTGCCTTGGTGTAAGTGTTTAAATTCTGTCATTTCTAGGTGGTTTTAGATGTTATTAATATAACTTCATTAGATATTATAAATTTAACTATATTCATATTATTGTTTTATTATAAATTTAACTCTATTTTTATATTATTGTTTTTATAAATGTAACTATATTTTATATTATTTTTTAATTTAGTATATGTATTAAATTGGTACTTTGAGTGATGTTTAAATTCTGTTATTTGTAGATAGTTTTATGTTATTGCTTCATATAAATTTATGAGATATTATAAATTTAACTATATTGTATAGTATTTTTATTTAGTATATGTATTAAATTAATACTTTGAGTAATGTTAAAATTCTGTTATTTCTAGATATTTTTATATATTATTGTTTCATATAAATTTATTAGATACTATAAATTTAGCTATATTTTATACTATTTTGTATAAATTAATTTATTTTTTGTAGTATATGTAATATATTGATACTTGACTGTATAATGTTTAAATTCTATTATTTCTAGATATTTTTATATGTTATTACTTCATCTAAATTTATAAGATGTTATAAATCTAGCTATATTTTATGGTATTTTATATTATTGTTTTTATTATTTGTAGTCTGTATATTCTATTGATACAGTGTTTTTTATTTTTTATTATTCATATTCTATATTATTCCTATTATAGTTTATTATCAATCATAAGATATAATTAATATAATTTCTATTTTATTATAGTATATATTATATTATCCATATTATGTTATATAATTAACTGTATTTCATATAGTTAAATTATACTTATCTTCACATTACTATATTTATTATTTAGTATTTGCATATTTTAAAATTTTTACTATACATTATAATATATTACATATTATATATTCTAATAGTTATTTTACAGTATTTTATATTATTTATACTATTTTTATACATTATTTGTATATTTGTATACACTTCATTATTTATATTAACCCTAATATAACTTATTCTTCTATTTATTTTATAATGTTAATTATTTCTGTTATTTTATATTATAATATACATTATTTTATATATGTTTATTTATATAGTTTTAAATTATTATCTTTATTATTTATTACTGATTTTTATAATATTCCCTATTTCTATTATTCAGTATTATTTCTGTTATTGGCTGTGTCACATCCCAGTTTCCCTGTTCATTGTGAGGATGTGACCACAAAGGGCTAAAATGCCAAAAAGTTCAGGTGGTTTTAGGCTGTAAAATCCAGGGATTGGGTTTTTCCCCTTTTCCCTTGTGCTGCTCTTCCCAGGGGCACCAAACGGCTCTGGGAAAATTCCCTTCAGGGGGGAATTTCACCCTTCAGGGGGGAATTTCACCTTTCAGGGTGTCTGCAGCCTGAAATGCCCTAAATCAGGACAGAGGAACTTGCTGAAGAGAAAAATCTGAATATTAAGAAGAAAAACGTGGCTGAGATTTTAATTTTTCTAAAATTATTTCTAGTTAAATTCTAAAACTTAATTTTTCCAAAAACCCAGGCATTTTCTAGAAACCCAGACATTTTAGAGGCTCAGCAGCCTTTTAGTTGTTGGGGTTTTGATAGTTTGGGTGTTGAGAGCTGTCTTTTACATTTCTTGGTACATTTTTATGAAGCAAAGATCCAGGAGCTCTCGAGTGAGCTCATGTCCCACTGACCCCTGTCCCTCCCACTCCTAATCCCAAATATCCCATTAATTCCTGGGGATTCCTAACCCTCAACAACCCCTCACTGCTGAATATTCCCCAGCACAGCAGAAATAAAATGTATTTTTGTACAATAAAATATTTGCTGCTGACTGAGGCTGGAGCCACTTTCTTACCCCAGCATGGCTTTAGTGTTAATCCTGGCTTAAAGCCAGGCATGGGTTTGATTTTTGGGGAGTGTGCCTTAAAACCAGGCAAGGGTTTGTGTTTTGAGGTGTGCCTTTAAACCAGGCATGGGTTTGGTTTTTAGGGAGTGTGTCTTAAAACCAGGTATGGGTTTGATTTTTGGGGAGTGTGCCTTAAAACCAACCAGGCATGGGTTTGGTTTGGGGAGCGTTCTTTATAACCAGGCATGGGTTTGATTTTTGGGGAGTGTGCCTTAAAGCCAGGCATGGGTTTGATTTTTGGGGAGTGTGCCTTGTTTATTCCCCACTTGGGAGGTGGATGTGCCAATCCAGGTGCCTGGATCTGGGCATGGGTTTGATTTTTGGGGAGTGTGCCTTAAAACCAGGCATGGGTTTGGTTTTTGGGGAGTGTGCTTTATAACCAGGCATGGATTTGATTTTTGGGGAGTGTGCCTTGTTTATTCCCCACCTGGGAGGTGGATGTGCCAATCCAAATGCCTGGATCCACATTAATGTGGGGGGTTTTCCCCCAGTATTGAATTTCTCCCTTTTGGGTCCAACTGGAGGGCTTTGGATGCACCTCTGGATTCTGGTGGCTTGTGGGTTTAAGCCCAGCAGGGATTGTGGCGGGCAGAGAGCACCTTTTAAGTGGAGATTTGGAGGTTTTGGGAGCAGGGAGGGTGTGGGATCATCCAGCTGGCACTGGGAGAAGCACCCAGCACCCCGTGGGGTCAGGGCTAAACCTGTGCAGGAGGATCCATGCCAGGACACATCTGGGGCCATTTCTTGGCAGAATTGGGGGTGTTTTTCTGTGAGCTGTGGGTGTCAAGGACCCCTCTGCCTACCAGCCACGGCGATGAGGTAGGAGCCGTCCCTGCTGCTCATGCCCAGCGTCCTGGCTCTGGCCACCAGGTGGAAGAAGGGCACGAAATAGGCCAAGTGGCTGAACAGGAAAGACCAGGTGAAGATGAAGAAAACGGGATCCTTCAGCGGGGAGAAGTCCAGGAGAGGCTGAGAAGGTTCCTTTTTGGTGGCTGCAGGGGGCTGGTGGCTCTGGGCCTCGCTGGGGGATTCTGAGGAGGAGCTCTCTGGGCTGGGTTTCTGCTGCCTTCCCGAGGCAGATGGATTTGCTGGGTCAGAGACATCTCTGCCATGAGACATCACGAGTTTCTCTGTGGTGGAAGCCTCCTGTGGATGGAGAAGCTGTAATTCCCTCTGAGTGCTTCCATCTAAACATCCACCAGGAGTTTCTGGATCTTTCTTTGCCCCTGAAGACCCCCGGTGCTGGTTTTTGGCAGATTCCCGAGGCAGCTGGGGGCTGGCAGGCCACAGCAGCATGCTGGAAGGCACCAGGTTCAGCATGATGCCTCCAAAAATCAGCAGAGTACCTGAGGGAAGGCAAAAGGTGGTTTGTTCTTGGATTGGAAAGGGGGGAGCAGCAGGAAATGGCCTTTGTTAAACAGGGTGTGGTTGTCACTGACCATGGAGAAAGCTCTGTTTGCCTTCTCGTTCTGGAGGAATTAACAAAACAGGGATTTTTACTCCTGTTTTTCTAGCTGGAAGTTCATTTTGCTGTGATGTGCAGAATAAATCCACAGCTACCTCTGGGATCTGTTTTGCTTTTCCTCATTTAAAGTCATGATGCACTTTCAAGATGGTCTTGTACCACTACAGTAAGATTAGGGCTTTCTGGTTTTGATTTCTGAGATCTGTGCTTTGACTCTGATTTTAATGAGTGATTAAGTGTTTAATAATTAACAAGATGCCCACAAACTATCCTAGAAGTGGCAGAGTTATTCCTTAGAGTGTTGAATTTTTAAGAGCCTCTTAGAGCCTGCAGATGTCCCCAAATTCCCTCTCAGAGCTGATGGATTGGAAGGAACAGGATTCAGCTGCAGCTTTGGAAGGACTTTGCCCCTGTAGGTCTGATCCAGCCTGGAACCCGTTTGCCTCCCTGAGGCAGGTGTGGGAATGACTGGGATGGGAGATGCTTCTCTGCCTTCCAGCTGCCAGACTGGGAGGAGGGAGTTTGAAACTCTGAATGCCTTCCAGAGAGAAATGCCAAATTATAATGGTGCCTCCCCACCCGGATCAGAGAGTCCTGAGTATTCAGAGATATCCTGGGAGAAGGGTTTGGGTTGGAAGGGGCCTCAAAGCCCATCCATCCCACCCCTGCCATGGCAGGGACACCTTCACTGTCCCAGGCTGCTCCCAGCCCCGTCCAGCCTGGCCTTGGACACTGCCAGGGATCCAGGGACAGGCACAGCTGCTCTGAGCACCCTGTGCCCCCTCACCTTGCCAGCCGTAGGCCTCGATGAGGAGCTGAGTGAAGGGAGCCATGAGGAAGGTCAGCCCCATGCCGGAGCGGGCCAGGGCGTTGCAGAAGGCCAGGCGAGCCCGGCAGCGCTTGGCCGTCATCACCGCGGCCGCCTGGTACAGGCAGGCAAAGCCCATCCCTGGGAGAGGGAAAGGAGAGTCAGGGACTCCAGCAGGCAAAGCCCATCCCTGGGAAATGAGAGTGAGGGACTCCAGCAGGCAAAGCCCATCCCTGGGAGAGGGAAAGGAGAGTCAGGGACTCCCACCACAGAGAGACTCCATATCTGAGGGAAGGGGGAAAATGGGAATAAGAGACTCCCACCACAGAGAAACTCTATCAGGCAAAGCCCACCCCTGTGGGAAGGGGGAAATTGAGAATAAGAGGCTCCCACCACAGATAGACTCCAGCAGGCAAAGCCCATCCCTGAGTGTGGAGCCTGGCCGGGCAGGAGCTGCTCCTGTGTGAGCTGTGACTGTCACTGCCCAACGGAGCTGCTCTGAGGAGTGAAGTCTGACAATGTCATTTCACTGACTCAGCCCAAGTGTGGGAATTGGAAAAACATCCCTGAGAGAAGGGGGAAAATAAGAGACTCCCACCACAGAGAAACTCCATCAGGCAAAGCCCATCCCTGAGGGAAGGGGGAAAATGAGAATAAAGGCTCCCACCACAGAGAGACTCGTGGTGCCCCATGGCAGAGATGTCTGACCCAGCAAATCCATCTGCCTTGGGGATGCTGCAGAAACCCAGCCCAGAGAGCTCCTCCTCAGAAACACCCACTGAGACCAAGGGAAGCCACAAACCCCTTCCAGTCCCAAAAGGGACTCCTGTGTGGAGATTCCATGTCCTGCAATCGCAGGCTGGCAGTCCCTGGCTCTGCAGTGTTCCCAGGCTGAAAGGAGTGGATTTCTGCTCTCACAGTCAGGGGAGAACATGATTTGGTGTCTGGGGTTTGGTGTCTGGGGGATTGGAGGCTCTGCCCTTTTATAAGGGATTTTAAAGGCCAGGATCCATGTAGATCCGGGAAAAAAATGAAGGTTAGCTGGGACTGGGATGTTGAAACTGGTGTTTTATTCTGAGCATGAAGCTTTGGGAGTTCACACAGTGTCTCACAGCAAGGAGCTGGGGATGCTTTGGCACTGAAGGTTCATGGAATTACAGGATATCCTGAGGTGGAAGGGACCCACCAGGATCACATCCAACCCCAGCCCTGCACAGACACCCCCAAATCCCACCCTGTCCCTGGCAGCACTGTCCAAACACTCCTGGAGCTCTGGCATCCTCGGGGCTGTGCCCATTCCCTGGGGAGCCTGTGCAGTGCCCAGCACCCTCTGGGGGAAGAACCTTTCCCTGATCTCCATCCCAACCCCCTGACACAGCTCCTTCCTTGGATCCTGTCCCTGATCACCTCAGGCTCCAGCTGAACAAAACCCCTGCAGACCCTTCCCCAGGTTTAAGGCTGAAGGAGCTGATTTCCTCCCACGCCCATCTCACCCAGCAGGAAGCCCATGGAGAAGCAGAGGAAGGGGACACTGGTGGCCTGAGTGCTGAGCAGGCAGCCCCCGGCCACCAGCCCGGCCCCGAGGATGGAGGTCGGCCGCTCTCCCAGGCGCCGGCACACCACGGCCACCAGCGGGGCTGCAAGGCAAACAGGGACACAGCTCAGGCTCAGCGTGACAAAGGCAGCTTTGGCAGGGCTTGGGGACATGGCTGGGACCACTGGGAAGCCTCGGGAGGCAGGGGGTGACAGGGGGTGTGGAGGGGTTAGTGTTCAGCAGAGAGGCTTTGCCTGGACCCTGAGCTCGGGGAGTGGGCAGGGAAGGAGGCAAAGCCCAAAGGTTCAGCTCTCCTGAGCTCCTTCCTCAATCACACCGTGCCCAGCAGCTCCAAGGTATTCCTGGCACAAGTGTTGTTTGCTCTGGAGCTGTACAATAAACCTGCAGTGAAGTTCAGGGGATCCCAGAATGGTTTGGGTTGGAAGGGACCTTAAAGCTCATCCAGTCCCAGCCCTGCCATGGCAGGGACACCTTCCACTAGCCCAAATTGCTCCAAGCCCCATCCAGCCTGGCCTTGGACACTTCCAGGGATCCAGGGGCAGCCACAGCTGCTCTAGGCACCCTGTGCCAGAGCCTGCCCACCCTCACAGGAAAGGATTTCTTCCCAATTTCCAATTTTTTCCCCCTATCCCATCTGAATGGCCCAGTGTTTAGAGCACACTCGTGCTCAGACACGTGTGGGTGTCAGCCATGTCCAGTTTGGAGCAGTCTGGGATGGGAACTGGATGCACAGAGCAGCCTCAGTGCTCCAGGTCAGCCAGGGCTGCAGCAGCCCCAGCCCGGGACAGCAGCTCACCTCCCAGGAAGCGCAGGGAGGACATGATGGAGCCGATCCAGCTGAGCTGCTCCGAAGATCCCCCCATCTCATCTCGGAAAGCCACGAAGAAAATCCCAAAGGTCTTGAGCATCCCCATCACCAGCACATTGACCTGAATTGAGAGGGGGTGGAGGTGAGGTGCCACAGGGTGTCGGGAGCGAGGAAAAGCTTTTCCTTCTGCTTCTTTTGTGGTGGTGTGGGAGAAACAAACGGGGACACTTGAACTGGTGCTGGGGAATGCCAACAGGGTGGGCTGGTCGTGGCTGAGCTGCAGTTTGGTCTCAGTAGACCCTCAGAAAACACTCTGCAAACTCACTTTCCAAAGGAAAGGAACAAAGTTTCTCTCCCTTTCCCTTTCCCTTTCCCTCCCATCCTAGAGCTCAGCTCTTGTAGGATGCTTTTACCTTTGAAGTTACTTTTTAGTACTGCAGCAATGGTCAAAATGGATCAGTCTGGAGATCACTGGGAGGTGATGAGGGGATGAGGGCAGCAGGGATGGATGTTAACTGGGGCAGTTTCCCAGGATTTCTCTGCCACAGGGGCAAAGGACAGGCAGTTTGTGTCCTGAATTTTAACTCCTGTTGTGTCCCTGGTGGCAGGTGGTTAATGATTGGCAGTGAGTTACTCGGGGTGGATTTGGAGGAAAGCTTTCCTAGCTTGGGGCACGGTGCCTTCTTTACAATTCGACTCAGTGACCTTAAAAGTCTTCTCCAAGCTTCACAATTCCTTGATTCATTAGTGGTGGGAAGAGAAAGCCTGGGGCACAGAGAATTAGTGCCTTTAAGTGGTGTTGAGGTGCCAGGTCCTCCCAGAGAGCACCCGAGAGCGTGTGCTGCTCCCAGGCAGTGCCTGGCTCCCACCTCACTGCCCGAGGTGGGATCATGCCCTTGCCGAGGGGACAGGACACCCCTCTGGGGTTTGACACTCCTTTGGGGTTTGACACCCCAAAGTGATGTGTTTGAGTAGGGAAAAGTCATCCTGGCAAGGGGACCCTCCTGTCCATCACTGAGGTGTTTGCAGGGGGCATTCCACAGGGAATGGCATGGCTGGGGTGTCCCCTGGGATGGCTGGGGTGTGCCCTGGCATGGCTGGGGCGTCCTCTGGGATGGCTGGGGTGTGCCCTGGGATGGCTGGGGTCCTGGCATGGCTGCAGTGTCCCCTGGCATGGCTGGGGTGTGCCCTGGGATGGCTGGGGTGTCCCCTGGGATGGCTGGGGTGTGCCCTGGCGTGGCTGGGGTGTCCCCTGGGATGGCTGCAGTGTCCCCTGGCATGGCTGGGGTCGGCCTGTGCTGTGCTCTGGGCGAGGCTGGGGATCCCCCTGCCCCTGCCCCAGCCCCGGGAGGGTTTGGTTCATTCTCCACTTACCAGGAAGAAGTGAAACACCACTCCCCACGCCCACCCTCTGCCTGCTGCTCCTGAGCCTCGGCTCTTCCCAGGGGATGGAGCCTCCGGAGCCTCCAGCTCTTCATCCTCCTTCCCTTCTCCTGCTAGTGAGAGCATCAGGACACGTGAACACCTTCCAGTGCTCCTGTTCCTACTCCCAACCATTCCCATTCCAAACCATTCCCAGCAATTCCCAACCATTCCCAGCGATTCCCTGGAGCCCTAGGGCAATGCCTGGGGCAGACACCATGCTCTGCACTCACTTGCGTGATGCTTCCATCAGACTCTCTGACAATTCCAATTATTCCTGTCTGGAAACAGTTTCATATTCTTTCTCATTCCCACCAAATTACTGTAGCCACTTCAGCTTTAAGGGCAGGCGAGTGCCTTAGTGCTGCTTTGGCAGTCTGGCTGTGCCAGAAGCCCGGGGGTCACCGCCTGCATCCACCTCGGAGCTCTCTGCCAGCTCTTCCACTCCAGCTTTCTCTGTTTCCATCCTCTCACCCACCCCGTGCCTCTGGCAGAGGCAGGATCCTGCCCGGGGGAGCAGCTGGACCCCAGAGCACCGGGGGTGATGATCTGGGACTCTTCCTTACCGCCTTGCATGCTGGCAAATCCTCCCCGGACAGTCGACAGCAAACAGGAATCTCTTCAGAGCCTCTTCAGTCTCTTCAGAGCCTCTTCATCTGCCCCAGAGATTAAACCCCCCCTTCCTGGCTTGGCAGCCCAGTCTGCTGCTTCATTCCCACGCGGTGAGGATGGTGCTGAGCAGGACATGGAGCCTGGCAAGCGCTGGGGGGACGGACCCATCCTCCTCCTCCTCCTCCTCTTCCTCCTCCTCCTGAAGCCCCAAGGCCGGGAGTCCCTCCCCTTGCCCAGCTGGGAACAGGAAACCCGGGGCGTTTGGAGCAGAAATCCTGTAGGGAAGGAAAAGGAGGGGGAGCCTGCGAAGTTCTCAGCCCGGGGGAAGCTCCGATCCCGCCCGAGCAGAGCCGGGCTGGCTGGGCTGGAGCCGGGCCCGGGCTGCTGCTGCCTGCCGAGGAGCGGAGCCCTGTCCCTGCCCGTCCTGCACGGCCTCGGCACTGAGGGGACAGGCTGGAAAACTGGGAGTTCTGCAGCTGGGCAGGGCTCGGCTCCCTGCCTGCCCCGGAAACCTGCCCGAGCTCCTGGGCGAGCACAGCCCCGCTCGTCCCCTGGCCTGCCACCCGCGTCCTTCCTGAGGGGACAGAAACGCGAGCAGGGGGACAGTGGTGCTCTCTGCTCTCCCTTTCTTCCTGAGGGGACAGAAACCCGAGCCGTGGGGACAGTGGTGCTCTCTGCTCTCCCCGGCACACAGTGCCAAAGCTGCGTCCTCCTGGTGCAGCCCAGGATCTCTGGGAGCCTGTGCAGGAGCTGTCCCTACAGCAGGGTTTAAACACGTACTCTGAGCTCTATTTGGGCAGGATCAGGTTTGCAGTGAGGGTGGTTCAAGGGCCTGGAGGAGCGGGCAGAGGGGCAGCAGCACCTGCACTCAGAGCTGTTGGATGCCCAGCTCCAGCTGCTGCCAGCCCGGTGGGATGGAAGGAGAGGGGAGCAGCAGTGCCCAGGGCCACCACAGAGCTTGGACAAGCCAAGATCAGGGCTCCAGTGCAGGTGGACGCTGAGCTGGGAGGGAGTGTGGAGCCTGGCAGGGCAGGGGCTGCTCCTGGGAGCTGTGACTGTCACTGCCCAACGGAGCTGCTCCGAGGAGTAAAGTCAGAGCAGTGACATTGTCATTTCACTGACACAGCCCAGGTGTGGGAATTGGAAAAACTTCATAGACACTGAAAGATTTGATTTACAGCCTTGGGAGAAGCTTAAATTTATGTAAAAATACAATAAACAGATATTAAGCATAAAAATAATAAACTTATGTTTCTGTAGTTGTAAGTAAGACTATGCCTTAAGTAAATGAGAAAATGTACTGATAAGATGGTGAAAGGTTTATAGTGTAGTAATGTAATAGTATAGAGCAGCTTGGGAGTTTAGAAGTTATAATAGAAACATTAAGTTAAAACTCGTGAGTTAAAAGCCCATTAAAGTACCTGCAGTGCAGCAGAAGTAAATAAAGGTGATAGATAGAAAAACAAAATAAATCCTGTGGCCTTTTCTATTGGTTTAGAAAGTTCTATATTGCCTTATAACAAAAAATCTTGTGCTACTCTTGAGCTATGGCTGACTGCTTGCTCCTCTGAAATCTCACAGCCTCTAAGACTGATGTTTATCTCAGCAATAAATCATTCCTAGCATGAAAAGATGGTGAAAGGTTTATAGTGTAGTAATGTAATAGTATAGAGCAGCTTGGGAGTTTAGAAGTTATAATAGAAACATTAAGTTAAAACTCGTGAGTTAAAAGCCCATTAAAGTACCTGCAGTGCAGCAGAAGTAAATAAAGGTGATAGATAGAAAAGCAAAATAAATCCTGTGGCCTTTTCTATTGGTTTAGAAAGTTCTATATTGCCTTATAACAAAAAATCTTGTGCTACTCTTGAGCTATGGCTGACTGCGTGCTCCTCTGAAATCTCACAGCCTCTAAGACTGATGTTTATCTCAGCAATAAATCATTCCTAGCATGAAAAGTCCCATCCCTTCATTTCTAGCAGTGACAATGATACCCAAGTTTTCCCTCGTGCTCTGCTCTGAAACTCCCCTTCCCCTTCCTGCAGCTGCAGCCCAGCTCCTTTTCCCTCCCCAGCACACAGGAACCATTGGGGTGTAGCAGCTCCCCCACCTTTTTGCAGGATTGTTTCCCTGCAGCATTTCAAAGCAAGAGGGCCCTGGATTTGTGGGGACATTGCCAAGATCCCTGTGCAGCTCCAGGGTCCTGGCAGGGCCAGGTTTGAACTTCAACCCAAGGCACAGTGAGCAAGAACTCCCACAGAATGTTTAACTTGAGGAGGTGAAATGTTTCCTAGGAGAAATTCCTCAGAAAGCTTTTGTACCTTTCCTACTGAGGGGCCTCCACGAGTTCCAATCTTTCTCCAGAGAAATGCTAATGAAGGCAGTGGGAGCAGTTACCTTGGCAGGCCCAGCTCTCCCAGCCACAGCAAAGAGGAGGAAGGAAGGTTTTTTACAGGTCATTTATTGATTTCTCCAAGAAATGAGGCCCCCAAATACAGCAGGGAGGATCTGCTTGTTACAGGGTCTGGGGGTGTGCCCACGCTTCATCCTCAGCAGCACAAGGGCTGAAATGTGAGCTGGAGAGCCAGGGAGCTGCCCAGGAGCTGGTGAGAGGGAGGGAGAGCCTTCATCCCAGGTGTGGAGCTCCAGAGGGCATGGCAGTGCAGGGAGGAGCCGGGAGCAGAGCTGGTCCCCAGGGCTCAGGACAGCAGCTTGTGCACTGCCACGGTGATGCTGTCGTGCTTCTGGATCATGATGTTCCTGCAGCAAGGAGAAAGGGCTGAGGGAGGGCAGCAGCAGCTGGGGGTGGGACGTGGGCAGGGGAATCACTGAGCAGCCCCAGCCCCATCCCCATCCCATCCCAGCCCCCTCGGCTGCTCCATCTCCCCACTCTGTGAGCAGTGATGGAGATGTCCCTGCTGCCCCACTGACTGACAGGCTCTGTCACCCACAGGGACCCCAGGATTTGTCATCCAGAGGGACCCCAGGATTTGTCACCCACAGGGACCCCAGGCTCTGTCACCCACAGGGACCCCAGGATTTGTCATCCAGAGGGACCCCAGGATTTGTCACCCACAGGGACCCCAGGCTCTGTCACCCACAGGGACCCCAGGCTCTGTCATCCAGAGGGACCCCAGGATTTGTCACCCACAGGGACCCCAGGATTTGTCACCCACAGGGACCCCAGGCTCTGTCACCCCCAGGGATCCCAAGGAGGGAAGAGCTCCTGAGCTGCAGTAACCACCAGCCCCTGAAAGGCTTCCTTCCCCCTGCTTTTACCTCCCCATCAACCCAGGGACCGTGCCTGTGGCAGTGCCTCCCCCCAGGGCTGCTCCAGACCCGGAGCTGCTCCAGGATCTGTCTCCAGGAGCTGGCAGGGCTGGGGAAGGCAGGGGGGGCCAGCAGCAGCTGCAGGCTGGGGCCTCACCCGCTGTCAGACTCCAGGCACACCACGGGCGTGTCGGTGGGGTCCGAGGTGAGCTTGGCCGCCTGCTGGGCCAGCACTGAGATGATGCCAGCGTGCTCATCCGACAGGGTGCCCCTGCCTGTGGGGAGCCACGGACAACCCCTGTGCCAGGGCAGTGCTCTGCGACAGGCCGGACTGCCCCCAGGCCCGGGGGTGTCCTGCCCCGGCCATTTCCCTCCCAGCTCCATTTCCCTCCCTGGTCCTGCCCCGGCCATTTCCCTCTCTGGTTCTACCCTGACCCATTTCCCTCCCTGGGGGCTGACTCAGTGTCTCCCCAGATGGTTCCTCTCCCTCCACCAAAGACCCCGAACTGAGGTGTCAGGAAGAGCTGGCCCCGGTAGGCACAGACAGGTGGTGGCCCTTGGGGACACCTGAAGGTGGGGACAGGGCAGGGCAGGGGTCCCCAGAGTGATGGAGGACAGGGCACCCCCGGGTACCCCCAGCTGGGGAGGGTCTGTAGGGCCCGGCTGGTGCCCCCATCCCCATCCTGGGGAGCCCCTCAAAGGGAATGGGCAGGACTGGGGCACCCCAACCCCCCGTGGGGCAGGCCACGTGCCCTCAGCCCTGGGAACCCTCACTGCAGACGGGCAGGGCCGGCTGCCCCCAGCCCCAGGAGGCCTCTGAGGGACCGGGCAGTGCCAGGAGCCCCCCCCGGTGCCCCCCCCGGTGCCCCCAGGCCGGGAGCTGCCTCACTCACAGCCCAGGTTGAGTCCCTGCGAGTCGGTGCACAGCACGCCCACCACGGCCGGGCTCTTCATGCTGGGGGCGACAGCGGCGCTCAGAGCCCGGGTCACGCCCGGGTCACGCCCGGGACACGCCCGGCTCCCCTCAGCCCCCGGCCCGTGTCCCCTGTCTCCCCCCGTGCGGGGGACATCCCCAGTGTCTCCCGTGTCCCCCCATGTCCCTCCGTGTCCCCCCATGTTCCCCGTGCTCCCATATGCCTCCGACTCCATGTCCCCCCATTTTCCCCACATCCCCCCGTGTCCCCCCGTCCCCGTGTCTCTCCATGTCCCCCATGTTCCCCCATATCTCCCGGTGTCCCCCCGTGTCCCTCTGTCCCCTCACGTCTCCTCCAGGTGCTGTTCCAGCGTTCCCTCCATCGCCCCTCGCCTCCACTTCCGCGCCGCCCACGTGACCCCGCGACGGCGGCTCCGAGGGGCCAAAAGCGCTCGGGGCGCGCTCGGCTCCGCGGGGATGCCCCGATTTGGGGACGCCCCAAAATCCGGCGGTACCGAGAGCCCCGGACCCCGCCGTGCCACCCCCCACCAGCACCGTGCCCGGGGGGCTCGCAGCACACCCGCCCCCCCAATCAGCTCTCCCCCAGTGGCTGTTTTCCCGCAGAGCACGCGGCGCAGTTGCGATATTTGGGTTTTTTCCCTTATTTTTCTCGATTTTCTCCTCCAGTTGCGTCCCTCCCTCCCCGCAGCGCCGCCCGGGCTTTGCAGAGCCGAAGCAAATTCAAGTGGGGTTTTAATTTTAATTTAATTTTCCTGGATTCTCCGTGTTGCAGACGTGGTTTCACAAATCCCTTCTCCGAGTGTTGGCTCCTGGGTGCTGCCCATCACTTCCCACATCCCCTCTTTATTTTATCCAGGAAAAATCAAGGATGAGACAATGTGAAGAGTGAAAGTGGAGGCAGAAAGTGCTGTAAATGTGGGAGTTTTGCTTAATTTTTGGACATCTCCCGGTGGAAAACATTGCAAATTATTTTCTCCCACCACAACAAAAAGAAACAAAACATTTTAGCAGCTTCTTACCATCCTCACTCCCGTTCTGGAGGGGCTCCCCAGGCCCCAGGAGCGGGAATTGCCAATCTCCCGGGGGCTTTCAGCTACAGGAGCTGACAATTTAGTGGGAAATCCCTTGATTAAATAGAGGGACACCCCCACTGCAGAGCAGGCTGGGCTGGATTCCAGATTGGGAATCGGAGCTGTTCGCAGTGAAGGTGGTGGAGCTCTCCTTTCCTGCATCCCTGCAGGGTTTTCTCTGCAATTTAGCAAAATCCAGGTTTTGCTCCCATAAACGTGCTTTGAGAGCAGCTCAGAAGTGGGGTTTTTGTTAAAAAAAAAAAATAGGCAATATTCTTTTCCTAGGAAAAATCCTTTTAATTTAGGATTAGGAAATATCCTCTAAACTTCTAGGAAATAGGAAATATCCTAGGGAATATCCTTTTAGCTTACAGGAAATAGGAAATGTCCTAGGGAATATCTTTTTAACTTCTAAGAAATAGGAAATATCCTAGAGACTCTCCTTTTAACTTTTAGGAAATAGGAAATATCCTTGGTAATATCCTTTTAATTTACAGGAAATAGGAAATATCCTTGGGAATATCCTTTTAACTTACAGGAAATAGGAAATATCCTAGGGAATATCCTTTTACCTTCTAGGAAATAGGAAATATCCTAGGGAATATATTTTTAACTTCTAAGAAATAGGAAATATCCTAGGGAATCTCCTTTTAACTTTTAGGAAATTGGAAATATCATTGGGAATATCCTTTTAACTTACAGGAAATAGGGAATATCCTTGGGAATACCCTTTTAAGCTCTCCCTAGAGGAGCAAAGATGCCGCGGGGACGGCCGGTGGCAAAGCAGGGACAGGGACAGCCAGCCCGGGCTCTTCGGTGGCCGAGCCCCTCGGGGAACGCGCGGGTCCCGGCGCTCTTTGATGTTCTGATCCGAGGTGAGGCGGCGGCCAGAGCCACAGCGGGATGGGAGCGGCCGGGACACGGCTGGGAACAGGCTGGGGGCGGGGACGGGGCCGGGATGGGGACGGGGCTGGGACACGGCTGGGATGGGAACGGGGCTGGGATGGGAGCAGGGCTGGGAACAGGGCTGGGATGGGAACGGGGCTGGGATGGGAACGGGGCTGGGATGGGAGCAGGGCTGGGATGGGAACGGGGCTGGGATGGGAACGGGGCTGGGATGGGAACGGGACTGGGATGGGAATGGGCTGGGACAGGGCTGGGATGGGAACAGTGCTGGGATGGGACAGGGACAGGGCTGGAATAGGACAGGAACACTGTTGGGACCTGACTAGGACATGGGTAGGATGGGACAAGGACATGATTGGGATGGGAGCAGGACATGGTTGGGATGGGACCTGACCAAGACATGACTGGGATGGGACTGGGATTGGACTGGGACAGGGCTGGGAAGGAACAGGCACACAGCTGGGATGGGAGCAGGACACGGCTGGGATGGGACCTGACTGGGACAGGGCTGGGATGGCAGCAGGAGATGACTGGGATGGGAGAGGACACGGCTGGGATGGGACAGGGACACGGCTGGGATGGGACCTGACCAAGACATGGCTGGGATAGGACCAGGACACAGCCGAGGTGTCACAAACCCACGCACGCCACATCCTGGGCTGAATATTCCACTGCTAAAATAATTGCATGGATGGTTTCCAAACAGCAGGGGAATATGCTGTTCTCTATTCTATTCTATTCTAATTATTCTCCTTGCTAACAGTGTTTTATTCTAGTCTATAATTCTCTTATTCTATTATTCTATTCCATTCTCATCTTATATTGTAATTCTTTTCTTATCTAATTACCTTCTATTCAGTTCTCTATTCTGTTCTAATCTAGTCTCTTTTTCACTGGACTTCAGGAATTTTATGTATTTATATCATGTTAAAATTCAGAATATATAATTATATTTTTAAGTTTTTATAATTTGTAGTATCCCTTATACATTATATATTAATATAATTACTTTAATATATTTATTATTTCAATAATTTATCTTTATTTTAATATTTGGGGGGGTTAATTTTTTTTTTTTTTAATACTCTTTTTTAGAGCAAATTTTTGTTGCAAAGGTGGTTCCTACAATTCACCCTGATGGTTTCCCACACTTTAAATCCACCTTGAACTCCTTCCTGACACCAAACTGGGATGAGCCTCGTTGCATTTTTGGCTGCTATGGCCCAACCACTTCCCACTCCTCTGCAAACCACCCGGGCAATTTCAGCAGAAAAATCATTACAAACTGTTATATTTTTATATAACAGTTATAAATCATTATAAATTGTTATAAAGCATTATAAATTCATGCTTTACTGCATCACAAGAACCACCCCCATTGTGGAAACCCATCTGTGACATCCCAGTCCCCAAACTGGGAGTGGCTTTGCCCTCAGCATCCTCACAGCAGCGGCAATTCCCACAGGAAATTAAACCATTGAAAATAAATATATAAAAAATCCGTAGTCTTTTCCCTTCCATCCACAAGGAAACCCAATCTCCTGCAAATCTGGGGCTCTGTGTGGGGTGGGGACACGCCGTTTGATCAGAGCAGCGGGGCCGGATCCGTGTCCTGCTCCTCACTCCCCGGGTGACACCTTGGGTTTTGGCTTTCTATTTTCTTTCTTTTTTTCATCTTGTAGGTCTGGGTTTCATATAAGGGCATGGTAAGGTGTGGGTTTTCATATTAGGGGATGGTAAGTTCTTTTCATAGAGTAGGTAGACACAACAATTCCTTCTACCCAAGGACAGCAGATCCAAATCTCAGCCCAAGAGCACAAACAATGTGGACTGAAGAGAGAAAAACAAGATGGATGGGATTGCATGGGCTGGGGCTGTAACTGGACAATTAACTCCAATATGCTAATGGACCAAAACTTACAAAAATGTGAGATCTTGTGACCAAGCCCTCTTTTGCTTCCACCTTGGAGCCATCTGGGCAGAGCCAAAGCCTGTCTCCCTGCTCTTCTAAAGTTCTTCTAAGCCTTCTGATGTTTACATTTTTGCAATGGAGTCTCTCACGCACTTTTCATGTAAATAATGATTGTTTTGCCTTCCATTCTGGAGGAGGAGAGGACTAATGGACTCTTGGTTTGATCAGTGTGGTTGGAGAGGTAGCAATTTCATCCTGCAATCCATGGTCACTTTTGGAATCCTATAAATATCGAGGCCTGGAAATAAACGCGCTTTTTTTCCTTGGACATCTCAGCGTGTCAGTGTCGTTCATTTTGTGTCGTCTTGTGACAAAAGCCGTGGCTCTGGTACTGCCAGGCCCTTCAGTAAATATCCTTTCATTCCCCTTCACTCTGTCTGGCCCCTGTTCCAGCTGTCCCAGGCACCGCGGGGACGGGGCGGCTCCCGATCCCGGAGCTCGGAGGGGCTGGGATGCCGTGGGGGCTCCGTGTCCCGGGCACAGCTGCCACCATCGGGGTCACCTTGTCCTGTTTGCACCCCTGGCACAGCCTGGCACCAGCGCCAGGCCCGCGGGGTCACCTTGTCCTGTTTGCACGCCGGGGTCAGAGATAACGGGGCTCACTCACGTCAGCAGCCACAGGGCCCCTCCCGTGCCAGCCCGGGGGCACTCCTGCAAACAGCTCCCACTGCTCTCTGCAATGCCTTGGGTGCCAGGCTGAAAAGCCAAAATGAGGCCTCCAGCTCTGGGGTCTGCAGCATCACGGCGTGGAGCTGCCGGAGCAATTCCAGGGGAGGCCACGGGGATGTTCCCAAGGTTGGAGCTCTCTGCTCTGGACCCAGGCTGGGAGAGTTGGGGGTGTTCACCTGGAGAGAAGAATTCACAGAATTTACAGAATGCCCAGGTTGGAAGAGACCCTAAAGATCATTGAGTCCAACCCAGCCCCAACACCTCAACCAAACCCTGGCACCCAGTGCCACATCCAGGGAAGGCTCCAGGGAGAGCTCAGAGCCCCTTCCAGAGCCTAAAGGAGCTCCAGGAGAGTTGGAGAGGGACTGGGGACAAGGGATGGATGGACAGGACACAGGGAATGGCTCCCACTGCCAGAGGGCAGGGATGGATGGGATATTGGGAAGGAATTGTTCCCTGTGAAGGTGTCGAGGCCCTGGCACAGGGTGCCCAGAGCAGCTGTGGCTGCCCCTGGATCCCTGGCAATGCCCAAGGCCAGGCTGGACAGGGCTTGGAGCAGCCTGGGACAGTGGAAGGTGACCCTGGCAGGGGCTGGGACTGGATGAGCTTTAAGGTCCCTTCCAACACAAATTATCCTGGAATTCTGGATCCATGCCCACAGCCAGGCAGTGCCTGGTCCAGATGAAGGATTTGGGGCCTAAAGGACAGAGAGTTTGGATTTGGGATCTAGTGGGGAGCATGGGGTCCCCAGGAGAGGATCATGGGTGGCATTAGGGGACAGTTCCCCCCTGCCAGGGGACGTGTGGCTCGTGCGTGCTGTGTCCTTCGGTCCCTGGGTGT